TTGCGCTACCGATTGCATTCCCCGTGCCGGCATAGGGCGGTGCCTGGGTCGGCGACGGAGTGCGCGATGAGGTCGACGCGCAAGCCCGACGTCGCTGCGAACTCCATGGCGGGCGGGGGCCCGCCTAGCCACAAGGGGGTATAGACGTCCACTGGCCGGCGGCTGACGTAGTCCAGTCCGTCGCCGTGCGGTTCCTCCGCGTTCGGCCCCTCGCCACGTGCCCGCGGCGGCAGCAGTCTGGGCCGCTCCAATTCCGCCCCTAGGAAGCCAGATGCTTGGGCGTCGAAAATGGTGCCGCTGCGGTGCTTCTCGTGGCGCCGCGTGCGGTCGCCCTGGCAGGCGCGCGTCAATGCGTGGCCGCTGTGCACGTCCTTGACTTCTCCGCATGCGGGACAAAACGTCTCCTCATCCATCAGTTGGGTGCAGCTCAGTCGCTGGATCCCGATCTGGATCAGGCTGCGCGAGACCGCTGTGCCGAACGCCTCGCAGGGGGGCGCCTGCAGGTGCGCGCAGGCCCCCGGCGCAGCCACCAGGGCGAGGTGGGCGCGAGTCGCTGGCGAGGAGCCGTGCCAGAGGGCGCCGCGCGTGGCGTCGCCGACCTTGCCAGGGAGAGTCTTCTGGATAGAGTGCGTCTCGCGATCGACGCAGGGGGCGCGGACTGCCTCTGGTTCGCTGGCGTCGTGGGCCTGGAACGCCGCGGTCAAGGCACTGGCGCATCCCGCGTCGTCTGCGCAGCCTGCGCACGTGGCCTGGCAGAGCTCGCCGCTTATGGCGCGCGGGAAGAGATGGGCCGCCAGCGGGTGGTCCCCGCGGAGCGTAGCCCCAAGCTAGCCTCGTTACGCTCGAGCTGCCCCTGGGCCCAAGAGTCGCTGGCCAGGGAGGCGCGCGCCAGCTGTTCCAAGCAGGTGCGGACAGCGGAGGCCATCTCCAGGAGGGGCCCGGCGTGGGCGGAAGGCGGCACCGCGCGCTTCGAGTTGCCGAGCTTGCAGTGGGAGGCGCGCTGCTGGAGAAGGTGCGCGGCAACCTCCGCGTTCTCCAATGACGGCCGTCGCGTCCAGGAGCTCCGTGTTTTTTTTCGCGCGTTTGAGCGCGTGCTGCAGGCAGAAGTCGTCGCTGCCGATGGGCGCGCCCAGGAGCTCGACGCAGCCGTCGGAGCAGAGTCGGAAGCCCAGCGGGAAGTCGGCAGCGGTCGCGTTGCTGTCTGCTCCCGCCGCAGGGGCCACCTCGCACTTGCCTGGCCCCGTGCTGAGGTTGAGGCCGACTGCCGCGAGCTCAGCCGCCACTCAGTGGAGGAGGCGAGCCACGGCTTGTCTGTCGCCCGCCACGCAACCGTCCTCCAGGCAGACGAAGATGAGGTCCCAGTTGGCGTCATGAGCGAGATCCCGGAGGCCGCGGCGCGCGGTCCCCGCGCAGCGTTGGAGAGCCAGAGAGAAGGGCAGCGGGCCAAGCGGGTCGCCCTGCTGAGCTCCGCGCTCGGAGCGGAACGTCTTCTTGCCAAGGTCAAGTAGCGATGGGCTGCCGCAACACCAGTCCGCCCGCGGTGCGAGCTCCGGGGGCTCGCGCGCCGCCCTCAGATCGGCCCTCCAACCCAAGGTGTTGCAAGCATGTGAGAGGTCGTGTTTTACGAATGCCGTCTCCCTGTCGCCACGCTCCCGCGTGAACCATTGCCTGGCGACGTGGACGGCCGCCTCTGCGCTTCCCAGGACAGCCGCGCCGACCTGGGGCGCCACGCGGTCGCGGGCGGCTTCGGCGACTTCCTTGCGCAGGCACTTGCCGAGCGTCTCGCCGACGGCAGCCGGGCGGAGGCCGCCGTCGTTTTTCGGGAGGGCCACCAGCGAGGCGCCAGCGAAGTAAGCCGCGACCGCCAGTAGGGCCTGACCGCGCGCGATCAGGTTCACGAGACCACTGGGCTGCTCGAAGACATCGCCCCGTCGCCAGGGCGTCTTGCAGGTGTCGCGGGCGCAGGTCCTTGGTCCTTCCCAGTGCCGCGTGCCTCTCTGGACCTCGATGTTCGATCCTCGTTCTGGTCCTTCCTCGAGAGACGGCCAGTGGAGACTCCCCCCTGTCAGTGGCGCCGCGATGTCGACGTCGCCCCCACGCTTGTTATTCCCTACCATCCTGTGGTGTTGGGTCCTCGTTTTGTACAGACGGTCCCCGCGTTCCTCTTTCCTTCCTCCTCCCCCATCCTCCTCCCTCCTTCCTCCCGTCACCACGCCCCTCACGCGTATCGTGGCCCCATAAGGAATTCCACCGAAGGCCCCAGTGGTTGCGCCCGCATGCGCCCCCCCCACACCAATTCCGGCACACCCCTCACACGCTTCGTAGTCCCATCGGGAATTCCACCTCAGGCCCCAGTGGGTGCGCCCGCATCCGCCCCCCGCACCCCTGTCGGCACACCTCTCACACGTTTCGTGGCCCCATAGGGAGCTCCACCGACGGCCCCACTGGGTGCGCCCGCATGCGCCCCCAATACCCATGTCGGCACACCCCTCACACGCTT